CCCCTCCTCCTCCTCCTCCTCCTCCTCCTTCTCCTCTTCCTTCTCCTTCTCCCTCCTCCTCCTCCTCCTCCTCCTCCTCCTCCTCCTCCTCATCCTCCTCCTCATCCTCCTCCTCCTCCTTATCCTCCTCCTTCCCCTCCCCCTCCTCACTTCATCCTCCTCCACCTCGGATGTCTGGGTGCACCACCGCCCTGCCCGGCCAGGGGCCATCCTGGGCCCCAGCATGTGGTGCACAACTGCGTGCGCCAGCCTGGCCTCGGCCAGGACCTTTGTAATTGCACCATCTGGCGGCCCCGGACGGCCCTGTGGCACGGGGCGGCGGTGGCGAAGAGGGGGGCGAGGACTGGGTGTGTGTGTGTGTGTGGAAATCATGGCGGGGGGCATGATACCCAGATATCGGGCGTCTCGAAAAAATCGAGACAGAGGTTTTTCATAGTTTTTGGCCTCTCGGGGCCCTCGCTGGGCCTCGGGACCGTCAACAAAACGACTCGGGATGAAAAACCGGTCCCAGGGAAGTGGTCGGGAGGTCGGGGGCCCGCGTCTCGAAAAAAAATCGAGACGTCGGATGTCTCGGACTGGTTGGGTTTTTCTCTCTGGTGTAAGCCGTAGCACTCCAACATGACTGACGAATTCCCCAGATCCGGCGGGAGGTCGGGGGGGTCCGCGTCTCGAAAAGATCGAGACGTCGGATGTCTGGATATCTCCCCAGGTTTCATGACGCCTCTTCTTATTTCAGTGCGTCCCTGGTCCCCCCCTGGGCCGCGCACGTGCCGCCGGCCACGATTTGCGCCCCCCCCCCCCCCCTCTTGGACGCCCCCCTCTCGACCGCCTCCGGCACGGGGCGGTGGTGGTGCACAGACGTCCTCCGCGGACCAGGAGATCAGCTTCTCCAAGGGGCGCCACCACTCCGCCTCCCGCCTCTTCGCCGGGCGGCGCACCCTGCAGTGGATCCAGAACCAGACGGAGTGGCTCTCCGACGAGGCCGAGTGGGGGCAGCTCAGGGCCAAGTACGGCTCGGAGCCGGGCCAGCTGACCGGCATCGTGACTCACGCTGGCAAGCGCGGCGGCGACTACATGGACCACGCCATCATGCTGGGCCGCTCGCTGGTGGAGAAGCTGCCGGAGTTTCCGCGGGTGGCGATCACGGTGGAGGGCATATCGGAGCACGACCAGGATCGGGGGACGTCGACCCCATGCGGCGGCCCCATATTTCCCGACCCTTTCCCCGGGGCGGTTTCGGTCTCGGATCCGTTTTCATGGCTCCGAGGCCGAAATCGGCCGGGGCTGGACAAAAATAGGTAGGTCGTCGGAGATTTGAAATGATTCCAACATTCGGCGGCGAGCGAGGGGGGGAGATGAGACGGAAAAGGCCCTCGCCGAAGGCGGCGGGGCTTCTCAGAAGCCTCCGCGCCTTCTGAGAAGCTTCCTGCGCCTCCAAGGAACCCTGACTCCAGATCCGCCCTACTTTGGTTTTTTTCCCTCTTAGAAATTGCGTCGGAAATCCACTTATAAGAGGCCGCAAAAGTAGGGCGGAAATTTCTGCACCCAACATCAAATAGGGCGGAAGTCCACGGAAGCAGAACGGAAACGGCCACAGAAAAGTATAGGGCGGAAACTGGCATCAGCGGGGCCGGAGAAGCAGGGCGGGAATCCGGAGGCAGGGCTGGGCTCGCTCCGCGGAGCCGCCCCCGTGCCCAGCTCTTGCCGTTTGCCTCCGCGGGGCTCCCTGGTCGCCACGGGGCTGGGCTCGGCTCGGAGCGCGCTGGCCCGGGCGGCGTCCGTGGCGAGTCCGGGGGCCGACCGTCGCAGCGGCCGCAGTCTTCGACTCCGGCGATCGCAGACAGGGATCGAGGGAGCGTGGATTGGCGACGGGTCCCGTTTCCATGGGAGATCGCGGATTTCCGCCGCCGAGCGAGGCTCCGAGCATTTCCGTGTCGCCCCCTTTTGCCCTCGTGCGTCCTTGCCCTTGTGCGTTGTGTGCTCTCCCCCTCCCCTCCTGCTTGGCTTCCCCTCCCTGTCCCCCCGTCCGTCCGTCTGTCGGCCCGGTCTGTCCTTGCCCGTCGTCCTCTCTCCCTCTCCCCCGCCCCTTCTCGCTCCTCGGTTCCTCGCTCTCTTGCCCGTTTCTGGCCCTTCCTGGCCCGCTTTTCTGTGTCGGCCCGTCCCTGTGTCCGAATAAGAGCCGCGGCGCCGCGCACTGCTTGTGAACCCCTGTGTGCCCGCAACCCTGGCACCTGGGAGTGTACTCCTGATCCTTTTTGCAGAAGATTCCTTGGGGCCTTCCGAGCCTTCTGAGGAGGCCCGCCCCTCCTCTCACTGCCCCCCCGGGGCTCGCCGCCGATGTGTCCCAATATGTCCAGCTCCAAGGGGCGGGCCTCGGCCGGCGCCGGGCAAGCCCAGGCTCGCGCGGAGATCGGGGGGTGCCCGCCGCGACGGTCGTGGCCACCCTCCTCCTCCTCCTCCTCCTCGTCGTCCTCCTCCTCCTCCTCCTCCTCTTCTCCTCCCCAGGATTAAGCCCTCCACAGGGGGGGTATTCCAAAGTAGCCAAAGAATCCTCCGGGGGCGATCTCTGGAGTACTTGTTAGCATTATTTCTGTTATCTGTTTAAAACTATGTTCTACATTTCGTCCGAGACCCCCCTGTAGGAGGACAGGCCCGACTTCCCTGACTCCAGATCCGCCCTACTTTGGCTTCTTTTCCAACTAAGAATTGCGTCGGAAATCCACCTATAAGAAGCCGAACAAGTAGGGCGGGAATTTCTGCACCCAACATAAAAGAGGGCGGACATCTACGGAAGCAGGGCGGAGACAGCCACAGAAAAGTAGGGCGGAAATTTCCTGGGCGAATCGCCCAGGGGGGAGCAGTACATGTACGGATTCAGGGGCGCCGGTGGTCCATGCCTTCGGCGAGGCTCCCGGGCGTATGTACGTGTATATAGTGCCCGCCACTGGTCTGTTCGCCCCCACTCGTCGCATCCGAGTCGCTCGGTGATTCCCTCCTCCTCGGGAATTCGTTGGTCACGCTTGAGTGTAACGGTTAAGTCGGGCGTGTCCCTCTGCAGGAGGAACGTTCACAAATAGTCAAAACAAAGTCTTGGGACGATTTTTGGTTAAACCCATGTTTGACCATTTTGGGGCGTTTGGTTGGTTATTTTCCTCGAAAATCCGCCTGTGGGAGGACATGCCCGACCTAATGCTACGGATTACACCAGAGAAAAGCCCCAATCTGTGACGCTCTTCGATAAAGGAAATCGACCGCGAACCCGGGAGCCCGGAACCCACCGAAATCGGCCCAGAACCAAGAACCAGGAACCCGGGAACCCAAAACTGGGACCCCGGGCACCCAGCCAGCCACCAAAATCGGCGCGAAATTTTCGCCAAATCTTTCAATTTCTGCTAGGACCCCTTCAGTGCAAGCACTGATCGGGGAATAGTTAACGGGTTGGGGGTCGATAATCGCGTGCCATGGCTAGGTGCACTAATCAAGAAGCCCGCCTGCCGCAGGGACTGCCAGCAGATTCCCCAAATAAATACGCCTTCTTCCACGATGGCCCTGTGGACCCACAGGAGCCCTGGGACACCTCTGGAAGTCCAGGGGACGGACAAAGAGCGTGCCCCTGGTTCTCTTCCCGCGAGATTCCTTAACGGCGTGCGCCTCCTATAGTCGACGGCCTCTGGCAGGAGGCGCTCCGGCGCGCGGGCTGGCACCTCGTCCAGGTGGCGGACTGGGGCGGCAGCCACTGCGGGGAGAAGTGCGCGGCCAACTTCCTGGGCCGCTGGGCGGACAGCTTCGAGAAGCTGCACGCCTTCCGGCCGGGCGAGGGGCGAGAGGAGAGACAGCGGCAGGTGGCCTTCGGAGGGCCCTGCGCCGCCACAGTTGGGCGCAGCTCGGGAAATCGGTGCGCTTGGGGGTCCGGGGACCGCTCTTGATCCGCCGCTGTCCCAACTCACCCTGCTCCGATCAGGGTCCCCTTCAAGAGGGTGCTCTTCATGGACGCCGACACGTACGTGTTCAAGAGCGAGCTGCGCGACGTCATCGGGGGAGCCAGGAACAGGCACAGCCGCCCCACCCCTCCCCTCTACCGGCCCCTCGTCGCAGAGCCTCCAACAACAAGGATGGAGTCCTGCAGTCGCCGAGGAAGAGCAACTGAAGGAGCATGAGCTGCCGGTGGTCCGCGCAGATTTCTTGGATCGTGCTGGACCCCCGCCCTGTCGCGCGAAGCGCGCCCTGGGCGGCGCCGGAGGCGCCGCCAGGGGAGCCCAGCGCAGATCAGAGAAGTCCGCGCGGGGCTCCGAAAGTTTATTCAGGAGGGAAAAAACACACAGACACAATTAATCGTCGATTCCCAAGAAAATATATATGGGAAGTGGGGGGAAGACAAAAACCCAGAACATATGGGAAAATATGGGGAATCTTTTTATTTGTGTTATTTATTTGTGTGTCCTGGGGCCCCTTCATTTATGTCCGCGCCGTTTTTCCTTCTAGGATCAAGCCGGGCCTGTCCCTCTGCAGGGGGGGGTGTTCCAAAGTAGTCCAAAAATCCTCCGGGGGCGATGTCTGGAGTACCTGTTGGCATTATTTCTGGGTCCACAGGGGGGGTGTTCCAAAGTAGTCCAAAAATCCTCCGGGGGCGATGTCTGGAGTACCTGTTGGCATTATTTCTGGTATATGTTGAAAACTATGTTCTACAGTTCGTCCAAGACCCCCCCTGTCGGAGGACAGGCCCGACGTCCCTGACTCCAGATCCGCCCTACTTTGGCTTCTTTCCCAACTTTACGTTGCGTCGGACATCCACCTATAAGAAGCCGAAACAGTGGGGCAGAACAAATCATGCAGAAAAAAATGTTTGGGGAGTCCCTGACTCCAGATCCGCCCTACTTCTTGGCTTTCTTTCCACCTTACAATTGCGTCGGAAATCCACTTATAAGAAGCCGAAAAAGTAGAGCGGAAATTTCTGCACCCAACATAGAACAGGGCGGACATCGACGGAAGCAGGGCGGAAACAGCCACAGAAAAGCAGGGCGGAAACTGGCATCAGCGGGGCTTGAAAAGTAAGACGGGAAAATCCAAGCCCCTCTTACGAGTCAGGGATATGTTTGAAACTAAACTCTGTATTTCGTCCAAGATCCCCCTGTAGGAGGACAGGCCCGACTCGATTCTAGGAGTCCCTGACTCCGGATCCGCCCTACTTTCGGGAAATTCGTAAATAGGGCTTGGAATTTCTTCCTTACTTTTCAAGCCCCGCTGATGCCAGTTTCCGCCCTACTTTTCTGTTGCTGTTTCCGCCCTACTTCCATGGATTTTCGCCCTATGTTATGTTGGGTGCAGAAATCTCCGCCCTATTGTTTCGGCTTCTTATAGGTGGATTTCCGACGCAATTTTAATGTGGAAAAAGAGCCAAAGTAGAGATCTGGAGTCAGGGCCCCCTGTGGGAGGACAGGCCCGACTTGATTCTAGGAGTCGTTCCCTTGGCTCTTTGGCCTGCAGGCCGGGGGCCCGAGGGCGCGAGGGCCTCCTCGACGTGGGCGCCCCCGGGGCTCTCTGCAGCCGCCGGGGTCCACGTCGAGTCGATCGGTCCAGATCGATATGCCGCCAGGCCCAGACATCGGGCGTCTCGACAAAAAATCGAGACGGAGGTTTTTCATAGTTTTTGGCCTCTCGGGGCCCTCGCCGGGCCTCGGGACCGTCAAAAAACGACTCGGGATGAGAAACCGGTCCCAGGGAAGTGGTCGGGAGGTCGGGGGCCCGCGTCTCGAAAAAAAATCGAGACGTCGGATGTCTGGGGATCGATGCGATCGGACTCCGATTCGGCGGCGAGGGAGAGGGGGAAGTGCGAAGGAGGCGGCCTTCTCAGAGGGCGGCGAGACTTCTCAGAAGCCCTCGCGCCTTCTGAGAGGTCTTCTGCCTCTTCGGGGAAGGCTCCGGAGACTTCTCGGAAGGCTGGGGGGACCTCCGAGCCTTCTGAGAAGGCCCGCCCCCTCTTATTTCCCCCCCCCAGGCGCGCCGCCGACCCATACAGTGCTGTTGTTAATACATGCTCCGCGTGCGGATCATGCATTAAATCAAAAGGATTCAGTATTCAAAACAATGATGGATGTATGCAATGATTCATTCGTAGATCAAGTATGGATTAAAAATCAGATGTATCAAAAAGCAGATTATGAAACCCTGCCCTGTACTTCGACGATCCGATGCGGCCCGAGGCTCGCGTCGCGCTGGCGTGCCTCCTGGCACAGCCGAGCCGGCTCGAGCCGAGGAGGAGGAGGGAGGAGGGAGGAGGAGGAGGAGGATGATGAGGAGGAGGAGGAGGAGGAGGATGAGGAGGAGGAGGGGGAGGAGGAGGAGGAGGAGGAGGAGGAGGAGGAGGAGGAGGAGGAGTGGGAGGAGGAGGAGGGGAGGAGGAGGATGAGGAGGAGGAGGAGGAGGAGGAGGAGGCGGGGGGAGGAATGAGAGTGAGGAGGAGGAAGGAGGAGGCGAGAAATGGGAAGGAGGAGGAGGAGGAGGAGGAGGAGGAGGAGGAGGAACGAGGAGGCGTCGGAGGGCGGATGAGGAGGGAGGGGGGTCGGGTGTGCCCTTCTTGCTGCCTCCCCGCCGTCACGTCCACCGACCTGCGCGAGGGGGAGATCGCGATGGTCAGGGACACGTGCAAGCCGAAGGGAGACGAGGACGCCCCTTTTTCGTCAGGCCTGTGCTATGGCGTGTCGCTGCCACCTCTTGCCTCCCCCCACAGCCCTTTCCTCTTCCAGATCCTACCCCTCCGCCGCTTCCTCCTCCTCCTCCTCCTCCTCCTCCTCCTCCTCCTCCTCCTCCTCCTCCTCTTCCTCATCCTCCTCCTTTATCTTCTCCTCGACCTGCTGCGTCCCGTCCGCCTCCTCCTTCTCCTCCTTCCCCTCTTCCTCCTCCTTCTCGCGAAGGCAAAAGGTGGTGGAGCGTGACAGCAAGACGGCAGCATATGCATTCCCAACAGGTCCCCCGTCGCAGCATGGAGTGAGGCCGCTTCCCAAGTGAGCGCATCAATCGACGAGTTGGTCCCGTCCGTTGAGAGCTTGCCATCAAGAGCGGCGAGCTTAGAGCAGAAGCTTTGCGAGACATTCAACATACATTCAGTCACACCGAGGCTGGAATCTTCGGCCCATCCCGCCACCCTGCGTGGGTCGTGGGTCAGAGCTCTCAGGGATGCTTCTTGGGGCTTCTTCAGAGAGCTCCTGGGGTCCTATTCGGGGCAGTTTTGCTGCCACTTGGGAGCCTCCTGGGGGCTTCTTGGGGGAGGGAGGAGGAGGAGGAGGAGGAGGAGGAGGAGGAGGAGGAGGAGGAGGAGGAGGAGGAGGAGGAGGAGGAGGAGGAGGGGGAGGGGGAGGGAGAGGTCAGGTAGAGGAGAGGGAGGGAGGAGCAGAGGGAGGAGGTGGCAGGGGCTCTTGGGGGGTAGGTGTTCTCGGGGGAGGGGGGGGGGCGTCTTGGGGGCCTCTTAGGGCCTACTGGGGTCTCCTCTGGGCGGAGGATTCGACATGCACGTTCGGGCCCCCCATTTGGGCCCCCCTCTCGGGGCCGCCCTTTGGGCTCCTGGGGCCGTCTTGGGCGCCTCTTGGGCATCATTGGGGCCCTCTTGGGCAGTTTCGGGGCCCTCTTGGGGGACTCTGGGGCCGTCTCGGGGCCATCTTGAGGGCCTCCATGGCCGTCTGGGAGCGTCGGGAAGCCGAGAAGGCGAATCCGCCACACGCCTTCAAATGCCGTTGGAACATCAATGAGTTGGGCCTCTTTGGGCCCCCTCGGGAGGCCTCTTGGAGGTCTCTTGGGGCGTCTTGGAGGCCTCTTGGGCCGCCTGGAGGCCATCTTGAGCGTCTTGGAGCGATCGTTCGGCAACTCGCGGCCCTCTTGGACCGTTTTGGGGGGTCTCTTCGGGCCCTCTTGGCCCGTCTTGGGGCCTTCTCGGCTCCGAAATAGTCACGCGAGAAGCCATGACAAGACGCGCCAAGCCCTAGGAGATTCGGCAATTTGGGCTCGGGGCCCCTTGAAGACTCCCCAGGAGTGAAGAGTGAGGTTCAGAGGGTTGGGCAAGGGACCTGAGGACACGCTCACGCCGTGCCCAGCGGCAAGGTGGCGGATGCCCTAAACAAATATGGATTGGTGGACTTTCCAAACCTCGAAACAATCTGCGACCGCATTCTGACATGCGCGAAGTCTCTGACAACCTGTGGTGCCAACCAACGAGAAATGGAGGATGTCGGAGGGATTTCTGTAAAAGCCTAAAGACGCATTTTGTACGTTCGAAGGAATGACATACTATTGCAAGTTGACAATCAATGACTGGCCAGACTATCACAAACCATTCCTCGGACATGCTTGGGCACCTGCAGAAATAGACGACAGCTGAGATGGCATAGGATATTGAGAAGGCCTTCCAGCCGGCGCCGCCGAGAGGGTCGAGACTTCCGAAGACCGCGTGCCGAAACCATCAGGGCGTCGCACGTCCGGGTCAGCGATCGCCCAAGCGCGTGATTCCCGATCGCATGTGTTCGCTGCGCCCCCAGCCATATCCACTCCTCCCGATTACTCCAGATTTCGTGATAAAGGGAGGGGGGTCTCATTTCGGGGGGGTCTCTTCCAGGCTATCTTGGAGGGCCTGGGGGGTCTGGGGACGATGTTTTGGAGGGTTCTCCCACGGGGGAGGTCTGAAATGGCTTGTCTTGGAGGGTCCGGACCCCCTCCCTTTTATTACGAAATCTGGAGTACCTGTCCACTCCTCGCTGCTCTTTGCCTCGCGGTCTGCTGGCTGCCCCCCCACCCCGCCAGCCACCAGCTGCCCTCCTTCCTGCGCTGGTCCTGTCGACCAGGCGAGGCTCCGCGCCTGCTCAGACACCCAACGCTCCGAAGCAGTGCGACGGCGGGCCTTCGCAGCTTTCGGCCTCTTCTGGGGGCAAACGACTCAGGTTGAACCTGGCATCGCTCGGACGTGTGCATTTCTCGGCGAGGGCCATCGAGGAGCATCCTTGATCATTTGGCGAAAAAGCCACGCACGAAACCGAAAAAAAACACAGGG